ATCATTTCTACGTAAAAAGTAAAGGAAGAAATTACAAAGTTATCAGCGGAAATATATTGGAATAAAATGTATTAAGTTGGGATTTCACTTCTCTTAGCAATGCCGTCGTCGAACACTGAGGTGGAAAGATTATTCAGGGTACTAAAAATTGACGTAAAATCCAACAAAAGAAATAGGCTTCATAATGAAACCATAGGTGGTTTATTGTACACCAAACTCGGTAGGCTCGATTTTGGAACCCGACAATGCTATACGAAACCAGATAAAAATTTAAAAGTTAGTGCTTCAGTTTCGGCATAAGCATAATAATGTTAATCATTTACTTCTTCTCTTAATTAATTGCGTACTACCTAAGTGATAAACGATTTATGGTCGTAGAAAATTAATTTATTAAAGTAAAAAACTTAGGTTGTGTTTTATTTCTAATTCTTTAAATTTTACGCCTTAAATCAAGATTTTTCGGCGTAGACAAAGAATGCTAGCATATATATAGCTATATATATGCTAGCATATATTATATAGCTGTAGCATTATCTGTCTACGGTGTTCGGAGACTAATAATTTGAGTTATTTAGGGTAATAGTTAAAAAACTCGGGGTTAAAATTAAAACCTCCTTGTGGAAACACTGTAATTAAATCTAAAGTCAAATAGGGATCGACATCGTAGAAACAATTGGTATCGATAACTTAACATCGATGTTTATCCAACTTAAAACATAGATTTTGGCCATTATCGATGTTTTTGTAAATGTACCTTAGAATTAGATGAATGAATAATTAATCATTTTGGTAAATAGTTTACTATTAATGAACTAAATGAAAGAAATAAAAATTTTAGTGTCAAACGGTAATTAAAAAATGAGAAGTTAACAAATATCTAGTTCATTTATTCTATAGTCCAATAGTTTTGCCGTTGATGAATGTTATTATTTTGATCTTTAAATGTGCCTATACACTCACGAATCCAGTATGAAAAAATTTACCATGGGACTTAAATTATGATTTAGATATATTTTTATATTGACTACTTCTATCGCAAAAAAATATGATTATAGAAAAAAAATTAACAAACTACACCAAAACAAAATACTAGACTTTTCCCGTCACCTTTGTTCATAATTTTTAATGAGGCAGCCCAAGCTGTAATTTTTAACAGTGGTAGAGCCACGCGGCAGCTTTGCTGTTGCACGTATGGGCCGGCTCCAACCGGGGTGGTACCACGACGTCACAGAATACCGGCGTGAAGTGGAAGCTCTGCTTTCGCGTTTCGTCTGGTGAGTGCAGGTGGCCGGAGGCCCGTATCCCCCCCCCCCGCTATCAACATGGTAGCGGAATTAAATGATAGACTACCCCAGGAGGGTACCAGCACCCCTGGAGAATCCCTCGCTGAGCATCCACGACCATGTTTCTCCACTTCTGAGCGTGGGTGCTCAGGCTGCCCCGCGTATTCTGGGAGGGGGAGGGGGGCAAATTCCGCTCAAGACTACAACTGCTCGGGGCAAACGGAGCAACAAGAACAAGGCGTCCCCTGCCACGTTGTCCGTGAATTTCTGCAATATCAGGGGACTTCACTCTAACCTAAACGCCGTCCACTACCATCTCGAGACGGCGAGGCCGGCTCTGCTCTTTCTGACCGAGACGCAGGTGTCCTCTCCGGCTGATGTTTCGTATCTATCCTACCCGGGGTACAAACTGGAACACTCCTTTGTGCCTCGGGCTGGAGTTTGCGTTTACGTTAGAGAGGATATCTGTTCTCGACGCCTCGGCAGACTTGAAGGTTCGGACCTATCCATCCTTTGGCTACGCGTAGACAGCGACGACCATCCGCGCGTCTACGGGTGCCTTTATAGGTCCCATAGCGGTAATGCCGAAACAGACCGACTCTTCGACCACGTCCAAATGGCTGCAGATTCGTTGCTACAGCAGATCCCCTCCGCAGAGATCGTGATCCTCGGCGACTTTAACGCCCATCACGCCGAATGGCTTGGTTCACGTTTAACCTATCATGTGGTCTGACACAACTGGTTACTTCGCCTACGCGGATTCCAGATGTGGAGGATCATGCACCTTCCCTGTTGGACCTTCTGCTGACCTCTCACCCGGACGGATATCAGATTTCCGTCGACGCCCCTTTAGGCTGCTCGGACCATTGTCTTGTCCGGAGTGTGGTGCCACTCACGCTGAAATCGCGGTTGCATTATGCAGGCTGCCGCCGTGTTTGGCACTATAGGTCAGCCAATTGGGATGGGATGCGGTCTTTCTTTGCATCCTACCCTTGGGGGCGGGTTTGCTTCTCGCAGGACGATCCCAACGTTGTTGCGGATTCTGTCGCAGATGTGGTACTTCAGGGTATGGAACTTTTTATTCCTTCCTCTGTGGTGCCCTTTGGAGGCAAATCTCAGCCATGGTGTGGTCGCTCCTGTAAAATAGTATCATGCTAAAAGCAGGAGTGCTACCGGGACTGGGCTGACGCATCAGCGTCCCGGGATGTAAATACCAGCGCTCTAAAAAAGAAGTATAAATCCGCCTCTAGGTCCTTCAAAAGAGTGATTGTCAAGGCAAAGTCAGAGCACATAGGCAGAATTGGCGAGAAACTAGTTCGCCTTCCTTCTGGAACCCGTGCATTCTGGTCTCTTGCCAAGGCTGTCCAGGGGAATTTCTGTCAGCCATCTCTTCCATCTCTGCACAGGGAGGACGACTCACTGGCCCATACCGCAAAGGAGAAAGCCGATCTTCTAGGCTCTCTCTTTGCGTCTAACTCGACTCTCGATGACGGGGGGAGTACGCCGCCAACCATCCCGCGGTGTGAGTGCTCCATGCCGGAAGTGCAGTTCACACAGCGTTCGGTTCGCAAAGCACTCCTCTCCCTGGACATCCACAAGTCGAGTGGGCCTGACGGAATCCCCCCAATTGTGCTGAGGACGTGTGCTTCAGAGTTGGCACCGGTCTTAACGCGTCTTTTCCGGTACTCCTACTCCCTAGGCGTAGTCCCAAAATCATGGAAGACGGCTTTCGTCCACCCGATCCCTAAAAAAGGCGACCGCTCAGACCCGTCCAACTACCAGCCTATCGCCATCACCTCCTTGTTCTCCAAAACAATGGAGTCCATTGTAAACTGCCAGCTTATGAGATACCTTGAGGATCACCAGCTGATTAGTGACCGCCAATACGGTTTTCGCCGTGGTCGGTCAGCTGGTGATCTTCTGGTCTACCTAACTCACAGATGGGCGGAGGCAGTAGAGTCCAAGGGGGAGGCATTGGCCGTTAGTTTGGACATTGCGAAGGCCTTCGATCGGATTTGGCGCAAAGCACTTCTTTCGAAGCTCCCTTTCTATGGGCTTCCCGAGAAATTGTGCGATTGGATCACCAGCTTTCTTGCAGATCGGGGCATCAAGGTCGTTGTTGACGGTGCAAGCTCCGATTGCAAGCCTATTAATGCTGGTGTTCCACAGGGCTGCGTGCTATCGCCAACGCTGTTTCTTCTGCATATCAATGATATGTAGCAAACCCGTAACATTCATTGCTATGCAGATGACAGCACTGGTAATGCTCTTTACACCGGTCGAGCCAATATTTTTCGGGAAAACGTCTCCGAGTGCCGGAAGAAACTTGTGTCTGAAGTCGAGTCTTTGCTGAACATAGTCTCGGATTGGGGGCGACTAAATCTAATCCAGTTTAACCTCCAGAAGACACAAGTTTGCGCGTTAACCGCTAAAAAGAACCCCTTTGTCGTATCCCCTCAGTTTCAAGGCACTCCCCTTGTTGCCCCAGCCAGTATCGGTATCCTCGGCGTCGACAGGACAGTACACAGGGACAGTATTTCATGTCGGCACACAGCCTGCAACTTTACACGGCGCAGGTTCGGCCGCACATGGAATACTGTTCCCATCTCTGGGCTGGGACTCCCCAGTACCAGCTCCTTCCACTTGACCGCATCCAGCGCAGAGCGGCTCGAATCGTCGACGACCGAGTGCTTTCCGATCGGCTCGATTCACTGGCATTGCGAAGAAATGTTGCAACCCTTTGCATTTTCTTTCGCATATAAGTACCATGGAGAGTGCTCTGAGGAATTGTTCGAATTAATCCCAGCCGCCAAATTTCGTGAACGCACTACGCGGCAAACGTCCCGATACCATCCACACCATCTGGATGCTTGGCGGTCCACCACTGTACGTTTCAAAAGGAGTTTCCTTCCGCGTACAACCTCTCTGTGGAATAGTTTACCATCAGCGATTTTTCCGGACCGTTACGACCTGGGGACCTTCAAGAAAAGAGCTTACTCCTTTCTAAAGGGCCGGCAACGCACCTGCAATTCCCCTGGTGTTGCGGTTGATCATGGGCGGCGGTAATCACTTAACATCAGGTGAGCCGCATGCTCGTTTGCCCCCTCTTCTATAAAAAAAAAATTATGTACTCACACAGTCACACAGTCGAATGCACTATGCAGTGAAATTAAAGAATAATATCAGTAATATCAATTTACATAGAAGTTACTATGAGGCGATTATAGGCGAAAATCAACAAAAAGCAACGACACCACAGAATAACAAAGTGAAGGCAGTTACGACTGTGACATTACAGTTCTCACTTGACAGTTAAGTTTAACACACCATAATATTTTTTTAAGCGATCAATGCATTCTGAATTACTCAAAATTTTGAACCTTTAATAAGAGACGCAAGATTTAGTTGATACTAATTTCGCAGGTTCGCATTGTTCACAAGTTCCTATTAACCGATTATGGGTCCACTGACATCGATGTTTCGATGTTTGACATGTGACAACATCGATGTCAAAACATCGATTTTAACATCAATGATCATCAACATCCCTAGTCAAAGTCAAAGTCATAGAGGAAAGTAATATCAAAGTTCAGATTTCACGAAAATTAGTCCATTTCAATAAATTTTACATTTATGTCGCTTTGATTTGGGTATTTTTAAGTATTTCTTTAACGATTATTTAAATTTTTACCAGATTTATATAAATAATCAGAGTAAATGGCGTCAGTAGGGGTAATAACTCGTGCTTTATTATGCAAAAATGTCATAAATACCGGCCGGGTGTCTATCTCAAATACAGGTTTTATTAAATTTTACAGCACAGGTAAGTGTATAACGTAATTTTTTTTAAATTATATGTATGGGTAACCTATTTGATTATGATAACAGATCAGTGTTCTTTAAAAGAGTAAAAATATTTACTCTTTTAAAGAACACTGATCTGTTATCAGTATATAAAAATGATAAAATATTATCATTTTTACGTCACATCCAAAGATCCTAATCTGCATACTGTGCACTACTAGAAGATGGCTTTGCACTGCACTCACCAATCACCTTGATTTGTTTTTGGGGAGGATGAGTGCTGTTGTGCATAATGATTTCTTAAATTTGCTGCTTTTCAAAAAATGCTGTTGTGCATTTTTTGAAAAGCGTTACCTAAGTTAAAAATGTTGCAGTTGGGTTTTATTTTTATTGTTTTTAAAATAAATGCCTATGTTTTTGGTTTTGATGATTCATTACTTTTCTGGTAGCACTTTAGATAAAGCAAATGAATCAAAAAAAGATATAATTTTTATAGCAAATACACCAATAAACTAGCTTTAAAAAAAGACAAACAATTTTAAATTTAAAGAAAACCATACTAGCTCTGGTTTATGTGACACAATTATACATTTTGAAGATAAGGTTTAATTGAGCAAAACTCACAATCTGAAGTAGGAAGTAAATCCGAAGTTTTAAACTAAAATATTATACTGGCTCAACTTTTGCTATCTCAAAACAATCTATAAACGTTTAAATGTAAGTGTAAGATTATTTAAACTGAAAATATCTGCGATTTTTTCTATTAACACATTAATTACCCACAATAATCATATGATAACTGGATATTTGTGTTTCTACATAAATAAGTTTTATAATTTTGCAATTAATCTGTCATCTATAATTGTATGAATTGGGTTCATAAAGTATTATATTATAATAGAAGCTAAATCATCAATTTGGTTGATTCCACCATGAACCATGATGAAACCATTAAAACTTATATTTAGAGACTACTTTTCTATGAAGAAGTTTGACATTATAGAATCAATATGAAATTTTCTATCCTCTAGTGCAATAAAAAGTGAGTTAGTCTGAATATTTATTTATAATCTACTTCAATACGTACGCCATTTTCATTTGCATATTGTTGTGTTGATTTTTGGATTTTTCTAGTGTTTTATTATAAAATTGTTATAAAAGTTTTTGTGCAAATATAATTTATCTTTTATGTAAATAATATCGAGTAATATATAATATAATAGTGATTTTGATGCTGCCTATATCCGCTTAGTATGTACCGATTTTTTATTACCAAAATATAATAATATTTTTATAATGAAGTAAAACCTGACTTGTTTAGGCCACAGGATAGAGAATTTTATATAGGTTTTATAATGCCAAACTTCTTCATAGGAAAGTAGTCTTTTAATATAAGTTTTGATGGTTTAAAGTGTTGCGGGTGGGTGTGGTCGCATGCGTTCAGGATTTGACGGATGCATGGGACCGCATGTGATTTTTATCGGGATTGAAGGGTTAAATATGAATACTAAAAGCTTACCAAGTGGTAGTGGTGTAAGAATATCTACTACCCCATATGAAAGAAGAAAGAAAGAAAATAAGTTAATTTACAACACATTTTAGCAATATGTTTACAAAAATACTTAGTCAGGTCATAAGTTCTGTCAAAAACTTTTTATAAAATTAATGATACAATGTTTTATAATTTAATTTAATTATAAAAATTATATATGAAATAAAAGGTAATTTATTTTAGAATACAATTTTATTTACATTATTCAAAATGCCTTCCCCTATTTTGAATACATGCCCTTAATCAATGCATATAATCATTTCATGGTAATGGTAGCGAAAAGTACTGTAGGTCCTGGTTTTTTTTAATATAGGATAGGGTGACAAATGAGCACACAGTCCATCTGATGATAAGTGGTTGTTGTGGCCTATAGACATCTACATCTATCCTCGGTTACAAATAAACATGCAGATGTGTTTTCACCCGTGAAGACTAAGATGGAATGGCTTGTTTCCATTAGAAAAAGGTCTCCAGTTCTTTACACTCACCATATGAAACAAAGCAGCATTAAGCTGCTATTTAATGCTGGTATTCTGGGAGAGCATGGTCCTTCCCCGGTTGAGCCGACCAATTTGTGCTACATAATATAATAATAATATAGCCATTTATTTCCGAACTTTGGGGTTATATAATATTTGCGTTTGAGTTCCTATTATAATACTAGTTAAAGTAAGTCCCTCAGTTCGGTGTGCCTTTTGGCATAGGCCTCCTCCAACTGCTTCCATTGGGTTCTGTCTGCTGCTACCCTTGTCCAGTATGGTCCCAAGGTTAGGCGGATATCGTCTTCCCATCTTCTGATTGGGTGGCTCTGTTTTCTGACGCCATCTCTTGGGTACCATAGGGTTACCTGCTTGCTCCATTTATTGGTCTTGCAACATGGTCAAAATGTCAGCAACCTTGGTTTTATTTCTTATTTCCTTGTTGTTAATTCTATCCTTGAGTTTTATTCCCAACATACTCCTCTCCATTGCTCATTGACATTTCGCAAGTTTTTCCCGGTGGTTTTGGTTGAGGGACCATGTCTCACAACCATATGTGATGCAGGGGAGAATACAGGTGTCAAATGTTTTCTTCTTGATAGAGATGCTTAGCTCTTTACTTTTCATTATTTCTCTCAGAGACCAGTATTTTTTCCAACCACTAGCAATCCTTTTGTTAATTTCCTTAGATGTTTGGTCACTAGGGGCAATTACTTGACCCAAGTACATGTACTCTTGCACATATTCAAGTCTTTTTCCATCTAATTCTATGTTCACTTTTGTAGAGTTGGACATCAGTTTTGTTTTGATTGTGTTCATTTCGAGAACTGCTTCTTTGCTTCTGTTGGCTAGAGTTTGTACCATTGCTTGTAGTTTACTTGGGTCTTCTTCCAGCAAGATAATATCGTCAGCAAACCTCAAATGATTTAAAAGACTGCCATTGATGTTGAGGCCATATTCATCCCAGTCTAGTCTTCTGAAGATATCCTCCAGCACAGCCGTAAACAGTTTGGGGGACAGTGGGTCTCCTTGTCTGACGCCTCTATTAATGGTAAATAGGTCTCCTTTCGATTCCAGTTTGATGCGGCTTTTGCTCATGCTTTAAATGTTTCTGAGTATCTCAATATAGGTATTATCTACTCCTTGCCATCTCAAAGCTGACGAAATGTATTTATGTTTCAAACTGTCAAATGCTTTTGAATAGTCTATAAAAGCTATGTAAACAGGTTTTTGGTATTCATTACTTTTTTCCAATATTTGTTTGATAGTGTGAATGTGGTCAATTGTGCTGTAGTTTTTTCTGAAGCCTGCCTGCTCTATGGGTTGATTTGCGTCTAGAGTTTTTGTAATTCTTTCTAGCAATACTTTTGCGAACACCTTGTAGACGTTTGAGATCAAACTAATTGGTCTATAATTGTCAATGACTTCCCTAGGCCCTTTTTTATGCAGGAGAATTTTGTGGGACTCTCCCCACTGATTTGGAATGACGCCCGACTTGAGTATGTCGTTAAATATCCTGGTGAGAATTGGAGCCAGTTCCTCTGCCGTGCCCCTCATGAGCTCGTTTGGTATGTTGTCCGGCCCTGGAGCTCTTTCTAGTTTTTGAGAGTGTATGGCTCTCTTTACCTCTGCTATAAGTATGGGCGGTACGTCATCATATCTATTTGTTGGCGACTTATTGGTTTCTAATTCATGGTCTTAAATTTGTGCTACACCTATACTACTAATATAACTGCAGCATGGGTCTACCACATATAAAATATTATTTATTACCCGACTGCCCCAGAAGAAGAGTAATGCTTTTTGCGAGTATGTACATATGTATGTCTATTTATTTGGCACACTCTGAAGCCTAAATGGCTCAATGGATTACAACATATGAAGTGTCATTAGATTTGTTTTAATTGTGTTTTAATTGCAAAAAACAGGGAGGGTAAGGATTTTTCCTGTAAACTTTTTTACGCGGTTGAGTTTTATGTTAAACTACAGTTATAACCATTAATCTTGTATTATGTAATATCACAAATAGTAAGATAATGTTACCTTGACTTGTTTAAATATAACCATTTCTTATCACTTATCTCTTGTGTTAATGATGCAAACATTTTCGTCACTTAAACATAGCTTGAATCTTGGAATAATATTACAATGAATATAGTATTTCTAAAACATTGCATATAGCAGCTATTTTTTAATAATAATAATTTTATTCCAATAAAATATAAAATCAATTAAAATTCTTGCAATCTGACAATTTTATGGGATACATCTACAAAATTGTATTGACTAGATTATACAGAAAAGGGCCAAAGAATGTGAAAATTCTATGTATGAAAGAATGCCTTATTCTAATGTTAGTTTCAATTACTTTATCTTTACATCTTTTATCAGTGACCTCTAGTGTTCTATACAACAATTTTAAGTGGTGTTTTAGTAACATACTCATAACGAATAACTGGCACACTGAGAGGATAATATAGGATTTCTATAAGAGATGCGGCTGGAATATGATTGGGCGGAATTTTACGACTTGTTGAGGATGTTTCAAATAAACTCTAGCTTTTAAAATAACAAATAAGTTGAGTCCTTGTAATTTAGAATTAATAGTGACAAAATTTTTAGAGTAAAGGTGAATGCAAAATTTTCAGCGCTATATGCGCAGAATACGCTGTATGTGCCACATTTTAAAATCCATTGTATGAAATCATTGAAACCTCGCATGTTTCATCCACGCCATATGCACCGTATGACTGCTGATGCTGATGAAGTCATATAATGCGGTGTATTCAGCATGTCCTGATACTCAGTGTTGCCTAATATTATCAACTGGATTTTCCACTAAAACTGGTGGTTTTATTTGATCTAGTAGTTCAGTTGAATTAAGTTTCAGTTAGTGGCAAGATGATCACTCCATCATTAACCCATTAACATGTTTCGAAATAGATATATTTTTACTCTTTTGTTCTATATAATTATTTCTTTTTATTTTTGTTTTATTATTCTAAAATCATATATTAATAATAATAAATATATTAATGATTATGTATGTATATTATAAAATATTTAATGTTTTAAGCCTCTTGCTCCATATTAACACATTGTGTGTGTGTGTGTGTGTGCGTGTGCGTGCGCGCGCGCGAGCGTGCGTGCGTGCGTGCGTGCGTGTTTTATACACATTGCGATCATCATTACAGCCATCTACAAATCCACTAATAAATTTGTGCCTCTTTGGGCCCACCTAGCAGTGAAAATTATAGTGTAGTGAATCTAAAGTAAAAGTTTTATTTTTAGCACCCCAGTATGAAAACATAAAGACTGAAGTAGTTGGAACCAAAAAGAATGTGGGACTCATTCAATTGAACCGACCCAAAGCACTCAATGCATTATGTAAACCACTTTTTGTTGAGCTCGGCAAGGCTGTTAAGGACTTTGACGCGGACAAGAACATTGCAGCAATCATTATTACAGGTTTGTATTATATTGTATAAATTACCAAAAACATTTTATTACTTTAATTACCCTAATAAAGTATGTTTGAAAGTTTGTTTGGGTGTTTGTCATTCAATCAAGCTAAATTGATCTAAGTAGATTTCTATGAAATATCTATCAGACATGAGAAAGTGAGTAGATTTTCTTGGGATACAAAATAGAACATCTTTTTTGTCCCAATATTATGCAAAGAGCTCAACTGTCATTGAGTTAATTTTACGCAAGTGAATGTCATATTTAGACTGATATCAAATTGTGGCTTTGAAGAATTTCATGGAAACTATTTTTTTCTATAATCGCAATCTATGCAAATATTTCCACATAATTTCTTACTCTAGATAATAATATGTCAGTATATTTCTAAATATAACCATGATTGTTAAGGAAATTAAAATTTTACATTAAGGAGAATCACTAGATTAAATTGACATAAAACTAAAGAAATTACTCTATATTACAATTGTGTTAATATCCCATTGCAGATATTAAGTCAATAGTTAACTTCCCATAGTAAGTTGTAATGAACCCGGTTTTCTAAAGGCAAAATTTTAATATTATGTCAAAAATTTAAAGTCCCTAAGAGTTCGAATCTATAGTTTTGCGCTGAAGCGTGAGTGCGTACATGCGTGTGTAAGTGCGTAAGTGCGTAAGTGCGTAAATGTGTGCGTGCGTAATTTTTTCCATAACTACATTTTATATTTGGTTAGAGTGGAAAAATATTCTGATGAGACAACTACTATATATTATCAAATCTGTTTGCATGAATTGGTTTTCTCATATTCAGGTTTATTTAGGCTATACCTTTGTTACAAGAGATGAACAATATGATGAGTGATTATTATATTTTCTTTGCAAACTATAGGCAATGAGAAAGCCTTCGCCGCTGGAGCTGATATTAAGGAAATGCAAAACAATACCTACAGCTCTAACACAAAGGATGGGTTCCTGCAGGAGTGGGAGGATATCTCCAACTGCGGAAAACCAATTATCGCCGCTGTAAATGGATTCGCCGTTAGTATTTTTAACTTTATTACTTATTAGTATAAATGGTAGAATTTTTATTCTGTCTACAAGTTGAAGTCTGTATTACTTACCAGCTTCTGCCATTCAAGTTTTCCAAACTTCTATTTTTCCTTAATTGAAATCCCTAGTCTTGTATATAAATCTCCCTTCTTAACAGTCTTCAAATAATTTAACTACTTCACATGAACCTCTTCTATATTGAAAAAAGGGTTTGTGATAATTAACAAGCAGGGGGATAGGCGGTTGCACTATTAGCTTTACTTTTCGCACTTTTGATTTGATTTCTTGCTGTCAGTCTGGGTATTCCACAAATACGAGATGACTACACCGCCATCTATCGATGGCCATCAAATCTTACGGCACCTCAGGATGGATTTCTCCTAAACTAGCGATGGGTATCTAGCCAAAATTGCAATAAACTAGCTAGCCGGTTATTTGTGGTGGAATAACCAGCTAGATAACTAGCTATTCAGCTATTTGGTTACTGCATAAATGACTCACTAAACAACTGAGAATTTATACCGTTAGCGTAGCAACTGTAGCCAGAACTTGAATAACGCTCAACTGCCCCGTGATTACGTTCTAATCTCGCCGCGGAACATATTTATATTTACATAAATAAAAAATAATTACTGTCGTTTGTATTTTCTTATTTTATTTTATAGTTCCGTAAAAAAAATGAATTTATATGTCATAACTATGTCGTGCGTATTATTAAATTAATTTATTAAAAACTGTCGAAAATCTATCTATATTTTACAGTGTCATCTATATCTATGGGTATGAATTAAGAAGCTGTAGTAACATCACGTCAGACTTAATTATATTTCGTCGCTTCATTCTTCCGATACAATTAACTTAGGTAGTCCCTTAACCTACTCGAGGAATTCGCACGTTTAGAGAATCGATCTATTTTAAATCGATTTTTTTTTCTGTTGGCAACTCCCACTCTCCGTTTACCCACCGGTCCGATAGTCACTTCATTCCTTAACTGTGCGAGGCAACGTTCGCACGTGCCTTTCTTTAAAAGTGAAAATAATTTATATTCTGTGGTTACTATGCCAAAAAGAAAAAATGAAGAAAAAATTAAACGCTATCGACGCAAAATTAGAAAAATGGAACAGGAGCAGCGAAAATACAAACTAATCATTTATTCATCTTCTGAAAACTCTGATAAAGATTCGGGTTAGTAGAGTTTTATCTCTAAACATTACTAATACTAATACTAAATTAAATACAATATTATAAATTAATGTATTTACATTTTACCTGGAGGTTGACCGTGTGTCAACACGAAGGTGATTTTAATACCGAGAGGTTAACGCGTGTTAACACGAAAGTACTTTGAAATCGTTCGAGAAACGGTTTTACAGCTATTTTTATAAAATAATTTTATAATATTCGTATATTAATATTCGAATATAACATCGTATATAAAATTATATTGAGATAATATAAAATAATGTATTAAAATTAATGACCTGTGTTTACACATGGCCAGAAGATTAAATGTTACCATTCGAGCAGTAATTTATTTGCCTTTGGTTCGAATATCTACCCTCAATAACCATTATTATTTTAGATAATGAAAACCTTGATAACGCCGATATAAAACCCTTGAATTCAGAGTATACAAGCGGCAAAAATAGTGCTTTAAATAATGAGGAGACAAAATATGACTGACCAAGAACCGGTAGTGTCAGAATTAGAGGCGAAAGAGAAATTACTCAAAGAGTATCTCATACCGGAAAACTGCTCGTTATTACAAGCGCCAAAATTAAACCCTGAGATTTCGGCTGCTGTTTCTGAGGGCACCAGGACTCGAGACAAGAGAGTTGAGGCCGTACAGCAACAATTAGGGCAGGGGATATCAGCTGTTAACAAAGGTCTCGAACTCCTCTTAGAGGATGGCAAAGACAGACTTCAAGCCGTTAAGTTTCTCAGTGACATCTGTAGAATACTATGTGACCAACACTTTGTAGATACGGAAGCAAGGAAGAAATTCGTGACCCCAGGTTTGGATAAATCCTTTATGAATATTATGCAGGAAGTGGATCACGTTGACCTGCTCTTTGGAAGTAAGCTTTCAGAAAAAATAAAAGCCACAAGAGTGATCGAGAAACACGGTTTACAAATCAAGTAACCTGTCCAAAATTTGAAAACTTCTTACTCGTCACATCAACCATCAACGAGCTGCTCACGCCCCCAAGGAAACTGGGGAGGCCCTTCTCGCTCCTCGTCAAACAGAGGGGGGAGGGGAGGGCCGAAGAAGAATACACTACCAAGTCGAAGAGCGCCACCAGGCATCAGCTTCCAACCGAAGCCGTCGGCGCAGAGCAAGCACCGTGCCACAGCTCAACAACAGTAAAGGTACACGCAGGAAGAATAACAGCATTTTTATAACTGCTGGTTTAACATAACTAAAAATTCTCAAATACTTAAATGGATCTCAGAGGGGTATTCCATACCGTTTTGTAGCAAAGTAAGACAAATTTCAGTTCCACGTAATTCTGTACTCAGTAATGATCCGCATATGTTAAATTCTATCAAATCTTTATTGGATCTTGGTGCTATTTCACCCTGTCGCAGATCGATGGACGACTATGTTTCCAATGTATTTCTAGCTGCAAAATCTAACTGTGCAAATATATTTATCTTTAATCTTAGAACTCTAAATAGGTTTATTTCAACCATCCATTTCAAAATGGAAGACCATAGTACTGCGGCTAGACTTTTACCTAAATCCGGCTTCATGGCAAATATTGATATAAAAGAGGCTTACCTTTTGGTTCCAATAGCAAAAAAACATCGTAAATACTTACGTTTTCAATTTAATAAAAAATGCTTTGAATTTAACGCTCTGCCATATGGACTGTCCGTTGCCCCTTGGGTTTTCACTAAGTTAATGAAAGAACCTATTAACTATCTACGACAACGAGGATACAGGTCGGTAATATATCTGGATGATATCCTATGCATAGGCGACACTTACGAAGAGTGCTCCACTAACGTAAGTAAAACGTTGTCATTGCTCAAATGCTCAGGATTTGTCATCAATTACGAAAAAAGTTTCCTTGAACCAAAACAGATATGTCGATTTCTTGGGTTTATATATAATTCAGTTGATATGTCATTAAGTTTGCCAAATGACAAACGACAAGTTATCATGCAGTATGTCAAAAAATTTGCCTTACTCCCCAAATGCTCTATCAGGGAATTGTCACAACTAATAGGAATACTTACTGACACCTGTCCAGCCGTTAGATATGGTTGGTTGTACACCAAAATTCTCGAACGTCAAAAATATTTAGCCTTACTAAAATACAACGATTTTGAAGCAAAAATCCCGACCTGCAATGGTGGAAACAAAATATATTTTCCACTAGCAATTCACTGAGGCCAAACAAAAACTTTGCTTTAGAAATATATACTGACGCGTCCAATACAGGCTGGGGGGCTGTTTGTAATGATAAAAGAGTAAACGGTGGATGGAAGGACGATGAATTATCCTTTCACATTAATTACCTAGAACTACTAGCCGTTTTCCTAGGCTTGAAATGCTTTGCTATTGCTCACTCTAATTGCTCTATTTTACTCCGCGTGGACAACACAACTGCCATATGCTACATAAATCGTATGGGCGGAATACGGTTTCCACATTTAAATAATTTGACCAAAACTATTTGGCAGTGGTGCGAGAAGCGAAATATCTTTTTATTTGCATCCTACATTAACACACACGACAACCGCGAAGCTGATGAAGAATCACGAAAAGTAAACGTAGATACGGAGTGGGAATTATCGGAACGGGCGTTCGCAACAATTGTTCAAAGTCTGGGGGAACATGAAATTGATCTTTTCGCTTCTCGTACCAATGCAAAATGCCTTCAATATATCTCATGGAAACCTGACCCCGACGCAATGACAATTGACGCTTTTACAGTTAACTGGAACTCGTCGTTCTTCTACGCATTTCCACCGTTCGCATTAATACTAAGATGTTTACGAAAAATTATTAGTGACAAAGCCACCGGTATATTAGTATTTCCTTACTGGCCTGGACAAGCTTGGTTTCCACTGTTCAAAAGAATGCTCATCTCGGAGATTATTTTCTTTAAACCCAATGGAGACCTTTTGCGTTGTCGTTACAGGTTACGTCACCGACTTCATGCCAGCCTTTCCCTGGCGGCCGGACGCTCTCAGGGCAGCATTTAAGAAATTAAACACTCCGGACATAGCACTAGATCTCATGCTAGCAACTAGCATCCATCTCAGATAATACTATGAAACAATATTCTAGTACATACTTACTGTGGTGGCAATTTTGTATAAATAACCAAGTAAATACTTATGACGCTCCATTTTCATCCATAATATCATTTTTAGTGGATCTGTACAAAAATGGAACATCATATGAATCCATTAATAGTTATCGCTCTGCCCTATCACTACTCCTCTGGAATAATATAGGGTCAGACGAACGAATTAAGCGGTTATTAAAGGGTATTTATAGACAAAAACCTTCCCTTCCCAAATACACAACTACATGGGATCCGAAAACTGTGCTTGATTATGTATCTAAATGGTATCCAAATAGCAATATAAGCCTAACAAAACTTACAAACAAAATAACAATACTTTTTGCTTTGTGTACTTCTCACCGCGTACAAACTCTCTCTCTAATAAGAACTTCTAATATCATAAGATTCCCGTCAGGTGCTAAGATTTTTATAACTGACATAATAAAAACTTCAGCACCAAATCGAGAGCGACTAGTATTATTCCTGCCTTATTTCGTGGAGAACCCAAGCATATGTCCAGCTAGAACCCTAGACGACTATCTTATAGTAACATCTGGGCTGCGAACTGAAGGGACTGACAATCTCTTACTTACTCATAAAAAACCTTACAAAAAGGCATCGTCTCAAACTATAAGCCGATGGATAAAGCAGACTTTAGCAGAGAGCGGTGTGGACGTGAATATATTCACTGCCCACAGCACTCGTCCACGCTTCTACTTCAGCTGCGGCCTCCGCCGGAGTTTGTATTGACACCATAAGAAAAACGGCTGGATGGTCTACCTCATCTAGGACATTCGCTAAGTTCTATAATCGCCCAGTAATGGATGAAGGAGAATTTGCCCGATCCGCCCGATTAATGCTAATACTAACAAGTAACAAGACAAATTATGTAATTGTTTGTTTAAATCATTAAGAAAAAGTTGGAAGTACTATTATATTTTTGTTTACCCAAATTAAAGTTTTTTTCTAATACTATAAATGTTTTATTAACCTAAGAACATTTATCTCTGATTTTAACTACCTCTAAACATCTACCTAAGTTAATTGTATCTGAAGAATGAAGCGACGAAATATAATATGATATCAAACGAACTTCTTGAAGTGAAGTTCGATCATTATTATATGAGTCGCTTCATTCGAAGATACAAAGGTCCCACCCACCCATACCCGGCGTAAAAAACTTAAACAAATATCTCTAAAAAGAATGAAGTGGCTATCGGACCGGTGGGTAAACGGAGAGTGGGAGTTGCCAACAGAAAAAAATCGATTTAAAATAGATCGATTCTCTAAACGTGCGAATTCCTCGAGTAGGTTAAGGGACTACCTAAGTTAATTGTATCTTCGAATGAAGCGACTCATATAATAATGATCGAACTTCACTTCAAGAAGTTCGTTTGATATCATATTATGTTATACAACCCTCAACAGTATAAGCGAATGAAGATTGCGGCGATCGTGCGCGCCGTTGCCCGTTAGCCGTTGGCTATACAGCTAGTCAGCTATGCGCGGCTCCATAACGTAGTGTACGGAGTGTGGAAGTAAGGAGTACAGACTGTGTATTAAAAAGTGTCCGTAGAAAACCGTTAAATAAGGGTGGCGCCACTATAACTACGGGGTATACTTTAAAGAACGCACCAAAAAATATTAGCGGGATAGACGACTTTTTCGAGGTTATATTTACTAAATAAAATTATTTTAGATTTTAGATCTACTGAGCAGTTTAGCAGCACACTTAAACCGTCGAAACTGCTAAGTTCATTTCATCCCAGTAGCTACTCCAGCGCTGTTGTGGAGGATTTTTGAACTGTTATTTACTGCTTACAGATGGCCACTTTTTCAACTATTCTACTATGGTAGTTGGTACTCCTTACTTCTACACTCCACAACGTAGTGATTATTTGTCGTCTGTGGCAGCTGCCGGCTGCGCCGTAGCTTGTCGTATAATCGAAGCGCCTCTAACTAAAGTAGCCAATTAGCTAGTTATCGTGTTGAAGAGTATCATTGTCGTGGCTATTTTATGAATAGCCGCTATTTAGTTGGCTACTAGAATAGATACCCATCTCTATCCTATACTACAACGATGTAGCTATGTAAACAAAATAAATTTTCATCTTCACATATCTGTCGTAAGGATTTGTTATATATTTTCTTATCACGCAGTAACGGTCCACTGTACGACAAGAGCCTCTTTCATTTAAAGTTACAGCCTATATACGTCCCACTGCTGGGCACAAGCCTCTCATTTCTGAGAGGGTTTTAGGACAATAAAATGTCCGCCGCACTGCCCAAATGCGTGTTGGTGAATTTCACATGTCTTCGAAATATTTTTTTCTCATTTCCTAGACATGCTAGTTTCCTCACGATATTTTCCTTCACCGCTGAGCAATTACAATTTCGTTGGTTTCGGCGGGGCTCGAACCCGGGTTGCTCGCGTATTGTGAAATTTACAGCGCCTCTCTTTTATTTGTTCATTATTAATTTGCCTACTGCTGAACCTAGCCACCCCAAATATTTCTTCATTAGAGGAATATTTGTCGTACAATTGGCTGGCGGGTCGGCAACCGCATATTTTAGTAGGTATTTTAAGTTAATATTATCGATAAATATGGCTCCCCATCCCCTGTTTCCTTTCCCTCTGTCAGCTTTTGAGGCAACCATGGGACGACACCGGCGGCGTTTCTATACTATTGTCGGGCCTTTCCCGTTTAGGGAAGATTTGCCTTAACTGCCACTTGGAAGGCGGATTGGCGATTTTTTTTAAAATATAATTAGGGTGACAGACGAGCACATAGTCCACCTGATGGTAAGTGGATGCTGTGGCCCACAGACATCTACATTTAACTTCGATTAAGAATCAAAATGCATAGCGTTGTCACTCCTGAGGACTAAGATGGAACGCCTCGATTCCGAAATGAGAATCCAAGAGAATCTCTTGGATTGGAGAGGTATGGCATCGTTGACGCTGCTTGCCGTTTGTGGTCTGTTTATTTTACATTTGATGAGTTTACCACCATCTTTCAGTTACCATTAGATGTTTCTACCTACCAGACGATATGGAGCGATTGACTCTTACAAATATCTCGGAGATGATTATACCACTATATATTATAAGCCATGAGATGATTCTGCCATTTCCCATAGTCCTCTTCACGACACCTACGAGACGATATGGTTAACTCTTACACCGTCATATGGTGTTCTGGTGACAATACTTCACTTCAAGAAGTTCGTTTGATATCATATTATGTTATACAACCCTCAACAGTATAAGCGAAATATTACATCACGGTCTTTATCTTCCGGCCATAATCCTAAGTTATTTAAAGTCGGCATAGCATCTCTCTCCCTTCCATTATTCTTTGTTAGCCATCATCTCTTCAGTCACTGCTTTCCTACGCACGTCATTCCCAACACGGACTATTTCTCTTTTCTTAGGCCTCCCCCTACTTTTATATACATCCATTTTCATCAATATTACGACGCGATCAAACTGTTATAATAATGGAGCTGAATATAGGGCTCATTGGAATCATTTCGAACTTTTATTTATTATGACTAACCGGCATACATGATGTGTAAAGATGTGTTCAAAAATCGTGTAATATAGAGAATAAGGTGAATTTACACATTGTTCTTTTAAACAATGAAGTTTATTACAGTATTTATGTAACGATATTAAAAGTACCTACGTATTTATTTAAACGTCTTTCTGCATAATATTTAAATGATATCGAATTTTTAATCCACTGTCGATTTTGAAGAAACCAGTTTTATCACTTTTACTGCAAAGGTCACAGCCTCTATTATGAATATAAATGTTGGTATTTTAAGACGTTAAGCATTTGGAAATTGTTTTAACAGTGTAAATAATTCATTTTGTTTTTAAGAATGCTAGTCATCCGAAATGCTATTAATATTGATTTATATTAATTATTCAAATATATTATCTCGTTTTTTAGTCTTTGTAACTAGATAATAGTTTCCACTGCTTGAAACTTTAAAATTATCAAATTCTCAAAAGATGAGCAAACTATACATGTAGTTTTCTTTTTAATTTGTCATCCTGGTATCTAGGATATATTTCTTCCCGTCTTATGTTAATTAGATTAATATCTTGTCCAGTCTACAAACTCTTACATACTATAACTGGGTAGAGGATTCTTAGGTAAAAAGTAGGTTTGTTGCAAAGAATCCATGCTTTGCTTTTACTTTTTTTGTATATGATCGGCGTCGTAAGAAGCGACGACAGAACAGGCCTGAAAGACGACTTATGGCTTCTTTTAGTTGGCGGTATAAAGACCATTGATAGAATCAGGCGTTACTTTGCGATAACTCATTATAACAAAGATATTAATATTTAATTCGCAACCATCCGCTTAATTAAATACAATGATGTGTCTTAACTGGATTGAAGAGCACCTCCTTATCCATCCCATAACCTTAACCATTCTTCAATTGCGTGCACTAATCCCGTCACCACTAGTCCCAGCACCACTACTCCCAACACCACTACTCCCGGCACCACTACTCTCAACACCACTATTCCAGGAAAGATACACAATCGACGATAATACGATACGTGTTTATGAATCCAGGTAAGACACATCATTGTATTTAATTAAGCGGATGGTTGCGAATTAAATATTAATATCTTTATTTGGTATAAAGACCTCTGTCTTCTTCTTTTTTCTTTTTCTTATTCTTCATCAGCCAGTATTAGTCCACTGCTAGATATGGGTACGTACTCTAATCCTGACGCTAGGCAAACGGATTGATGTCGCAGCACCAATCGGGAGAACCTTCGACGTTGCTATGCATCGCCGGTTTGAGTATTTTATTAACGCAAATCATAACATTTTTCTGATATTTCGCATAGCCGCCGCATATCACGGCTGTTTTATCCTTAGCAATTGATTTACAAGCTCATGAAGAAGACCGCGAGATGTTGTGAAGCATGCTTACTTTGGCTCTATCTATAATATCTGAACTAGATCTGTGTCGATCGATCATTTCTCGTGACCTGGGTCGATCATGACCCACTCGTATGGTCATTGGGTTAAAAAGATTCGATCGTTTCGATCATTTGGGTCGCAGCTCGTTTGTATACTTTGTATGACCGAATGAAGAATGCTGAACAGGTGCTATAAACTATAATAGTAATAATACATACTATTGGTTTGTTTATTGGTTGAATTGTATGTAAACGAAGGAGACAGAGGACATTTTATTTATTACGTCGTTGTGTGATTGATTGCACAACTCGATCGATTATATGTATGTAAAAATATGAAAAAAAGTAGAATTTGGTTTGTCTTGTCACCTTGAAATCGGGTCAAATAAGATTGAATCTTTTATAGATCCATGATTCGATCACTTGTATACAGGTTGCAATCGAATCAAAAAGGTTCGATCAATCGCGATCGACACAGGACTAATCTGGACGTAACTTTTTAGCTTGGTGGTGGCTGCGAGTTGGCGATGCTGTGTGATATTATATACGCGGGCGAGAAGGCTAAGTTCGGACAGCCGGAGATCAACATCGGTACAATACCCGGAGCTGGCGGCACCCAGCGCCTGCCTCGCTACGTCGGCAAGTCCAAGGCCATGGAAATCGTACTTACTGGAAACTTCATTGATGCTCAGGAAGCTGAGAAAATGGGTGAGAAATTACAAATTAAAAGAATAATTTATTTTTTGACCATCGTGGATCACAAGTGCGTAATACAAGTATTATATCTAATTAATATAAAAAATCGAATTAATTAAAAATATAACTAACATACCAAAAAGAAACATTAGTCTGTAGTTTCTACATTTTTTAACAAATTAACTGCGCCCGCTATGAAATCTGTAAAATATTTATATACCTCATTTTTAAGTGACGCCGCCCTGATGGCAGAAAAAGTAGTTTTTTTATAGAATATGAAAAAAATATATGTTGATGTACTCCTGTAAGACAAATCCCTACAGGTAGAGACTTCAATGAACTGATGAAAAGAAAAAGATACGCTCTATGCAGTTGATAATTTCAATAAGTATTCAGATGTACCAGCCGCCGGCGAAGTCGGCTAGAGCAACACAATTGAAAAAAAAATGAAAATGAAAAATACTTTATTTAACAGTTAGCACTTTTACACATAATTTAGCAGCGGTTCTCACACTAGGCACGTAGACCTGTATCGTGAGAGCCATATACACATATTAACAAAAAACAGAGATTTGTGCACGGCTGACTTTACAAAGTTTTACCTTTAAACATCTACTCCAATTTATTTATGGTCTATAAATATAAATATAAATATAAACACATACTTAAACATATATACACAACATACATACAACATATATAAATATCATATATATATATATATATATATATATATATATATATATACATCACATATACATACATACACACACATAAATATTATAATTTGTTAATATTGCAGTATTTTAAATTTGCAATACTGCTATAATAACAATATCAATATCAATATTGGGCACGTAGCTACTATGACAATGTTTGAAACAGCTTTTAGCGTAAGCAACCAATTTCGTATTTTTATTCTAGCTGTGTTCGTCGAGCAATCTCTTATGTCGCATGCCTTCTTAACTTTATTATAAATTAGTGTTTCAATGAATGGACTAAATCGTTTTGCGAAAGCTGTGCGAATGCTTGGTAATGGCATTTGAAACACACGTTTTTTCATCAGCTCACTGTATTTATGTGAGCTTAATATTTTTCTATGAACACATGTAGCCACACATAAGACAAATAGCTGCCGAACTGTTAGTACTTTAATATCTCTGTACAGTTTAGCTGTTGGATACCTGTATTTCTTGTTAAGCATAACTTTCAGGACCGAACGTTGAGCTCTCTCAATTTTTATCATGACTGTTTTGGAAGCGCTTCCCCAGCAAGAAATACAATACGTTAACAGAGACTGACATAGGGCATAATAGATAGACATTAATGTGCTCAGGGGTGCAGAGTTTTTCAGCCGTCTCATGATGTAAACTATGTTACGAATTCTCGCTGCCAATGCCGATATATGCGCCTTGAAGTTAAGGTTGTGATCAATTAATATACCCAGGTATTTAATGGATTCCACTCTCCGAATTTTTTCACAACTACACAAATTATTTTCGGTCGTGCAAATATGCAATCTTATGTGTTTGTCAGTAGGTGGTATTGGCGAACGGGTCTTATGAAAGCAAATACAATTAGTTTTCTCGACATTAAGAGTTAACAGGTTTGAGTTTAACCAATGAGAAACCTGAGAAACACCACGTTCCGCCACAGAAATGGTATCATCCCATCTTTTTCCACTGTATAAAAGGACCGTATCATCAGCATAACATATTATTTCTGAATGTTTTGAGTTGAACTGTGTATGTCGTTCATGTATATGATGAAGAGAGTATGACCGAGAATACTTCCCTGAGGTACACCATAGTTAACATGTTGCATTTCACTCATATATGTGCCCACTCTCACGCACTGTTTCCGTTTCTGCAAATAGCTTTTAAACCAATCTAAAACTAATCCTCTGATTCCTACGTTTTCAAGCTTTTGACATAGTAAAGGAACGGAAACAGTATCGAAAGTCTTGGCTAAGTCCAGGAATACGCCAATACAATATTCGTTTTTGTCAAGGCAAGAAGATATATGTGAAACTAAGGTGGTTATAGCGTCCTCGGTTCATTTTCTTTTTCTAAAACCAAACTGTCTTGAAGAGAGCAGATTAAATGCTTCTAAGTAATGCATTAGTCTTTTATTAACCAATTTCTCAAGGAGTTTGGAAAACACACTCAGCAGAGAAATGGGTCGATAATTATCTGGAGAGTTTTTTAGGCCCTTTTTATATACAGGATACACCATTGCAGTCTTCCAAACTTCTGGAAATACACCGGTAGAGATACTCAAGTTGTATATTACTGTAAGTGGCTCAGTGATAAATTTCTTAATATGCTTAATCAGAGTATTACTTAGTCCATCAATTCCTGGCGCTTTGTCATTTTTAAGATTCGTTATTAGGTTTTCTATTTCGTAAGCGTCAGTAGGTTGCATATAAAACGAGTGTGTTATATTTCTAATTTTACTATTTTGCACTAGACTTTCTTCAGTATTTTTACTTTCAATAAGAATTTTGTGTGCTAAATTTTGTCCAACTGTGGAAAAATAAGTATTACAAATATTCAATGATTCATTTTTGCTTATAGATCCTTGAATATTTAATAGCTCAGTTGGTTCTTTGTTTGATGTAGTAATGTTGCATATATCCTTTATTGCTTTCCATAATTTCTTGGGCTGTCCCTGGCTATTAATTATTATTAATTAATTATCATAGAATATTATAATACATACAAAGCTATGACGCGTTTTATATATGAATAACTAATAACTATTGTAAAATGTTTATGTGCTCATTGATCACTTATTTCACCTTTATCACCAGGATCAGATTCAGCAATTGCTGGCCTATGTTTAGCTGTTCTGATTAAAATTCAAAATTATATCTTTATAAACAACCTTTGTTTTTCATAGAATAAGGGTGACAAATGAGCACACAGTCCACCTGATGGTAAGCGGATGCCGTGGCCCATAAACACATTTATCGTCCGATGAAGGCTCAAAATGTAGATCCGTTATCATACTTTAGGACTAAGATGGAATGCCTCGTTTCCAGTTAAAAGGATCTTCGGATCTCTACACTCACCATACGAAACACAGCAGTATTAAGCTGCTATTTTAGGCTAGTATTCTGTGAGAGCGTGGTCCTACCCCGACATTCATGCTACAACCATAATATAGATGCAGCGTGGCTCTACCACATATAAAATGTACAAATAACCTGTTCATGTTTTGTAGGACTGGTAAGCAAGGTCTTCCCAGTAGAGAAACTGTTAGAGGAGAGCATCAAGCTAGCAGAGAGGATTGGCACTCACTCTCCTCTCATCGTTAAAATGGCCAAACAGGCTGTCAACCAGGCATATGAGACTACGCTCAAGTCGGGTCTACTTTACGAGAAATCTATATTCTATGGCACCTTTGCCACGGTAAGTAGCATTAAAGCTGATTTTAATACTTAATGATAACTTTTACAGCAGTCAGGTACAATTCAGCAACTTTAACATTTCATCATATCGAAAGTCCACTACTGAACCTATGCCTCCCCTATTATAGATTGCCTCAAAGGGCTGCATATTTGTTATAGTTACCATGTTTGGCAAGCGGATTGGTTCCACAGTTTTTTAGTTGTTAAACGAAAGAACCTGCTGCTCTCTGTTGTTCTATCGCCTCTTACAACATCCATGGGACGATATTGGGTAGTGGATATACTTACAATGCCACTACATGGTATGTAATAAGGTATGTAATAACTGTGTTACTACTATAATCAATGTAGTAAGATGCCTAACTGTCCGAGATTGTGCAGAATAGACCTGCATAAGCAGTTTCAGCAATATAGTGTACAAATTAGCAATTAGCTCACAGGGTGCCTCAAGCGTCCACAATATTCCGCATTTTTTTAAAATTTGGTGGTTTCTGGTATATATATATATCATTACAGCCACAAGCTTTACAAGTCCACTGCTGAACATAGACCTCCCCCAAGGTATGCCACAAAGCTCGGTCCTGAGCCACCTGCATCCATCGGCTTCCTGCATGTCTTACCAGGTCGTCACTCCATTTAGTGGGGAGTCGCCCTACACTTCACCTACCGGTACGAGGCTGCCACTCGAGAACCTTTTTTTCCCCAACGGTTGTCGGTTCTTCGAGCTATATCCATCCCATCGGATTATGAGAGTTTTTTTTGTAGTATAGGGTGACAAACGAGCGCACAGTCCACCAAGTGGTTGCTGTGGCCCATAGGCACCTACATGTATCCTCGATTACGAATCAAAATGCAGATGCGTTACCACCCGTGAGGACTGAGATGGAATGCCTCATTTCCAGTAAAAAGGGCCTCCAGTTCTCTACACTCGCCATACGAAACACAACAGCATTAAGCTACTATTTTACACTGGTATTTTGTGAGAGCGTGGTCCTTCCCCAATTGAGCCGACCCATTCATGTTACAACTATACTACTAATATAACTACAGCATGGTTCTTACACATTGCGCATACACTTGGGCACTGTAATCCTGTCCTGCGCCGATGGCTAGTCTCCGTTGAGGCAGGCCGCCGTGTTTTCCGAAATTCTGAATGTATGTGGCTGACCTTAATATTTACATGGATTTTTTGTCCAATATCTGTGATATACTCCTAATACGATACTGTAGTATATACATACTAGTAGGCAAAGACAGACTTGTTCATGTTGCTTGGATCGCTTGTTTTTATTTCGCCAAACATTTAGGCCAATCCTTAACATTTCTGTAACATGTTATTGTTATTCCTTATATTTGCAGCAATTAAAATTAAAACCTGAATTTTTATTTTAATAACAGCATCTTTACATATTTTTAAATTTCTTCCCATTTCAGGAGGACCGCAAAGAAGGAATGTCAGCATTTATTGAGAAGAGATCCCCTATATTCAAGAATGAATAGGCTCAACGTATATATACTTACAAATATTTTTTGTAAATTAAAATTTTAGAGATGTAAGATAAAGTGCAATTTGTTATACAATTTTATATCCTTTATTATGACGTCAAACTGCCAATATACATTCTATTTTTGATGATTGTTTTTTATTTACATATTAAGCTTATCATAGCATTCAAAAGAATGTGTCACCTGTATCACACGTCAATGGGTGGTCGAACTTTGTGTATCCAAAGAATGTCAGCAAGTTCAATAATCCAATAAGATATATTTAAAAAAAAATTATTAATATAACCTACAATAACCTCAAACTTCATGTGATACCAATACCATAAACAACACATTTGCTTATTATTTTAATTAATAGAATCAGGCGTTACTTTGCGGAAACCTATAATTTTTATAAAAGAGGGGGAAAACGAGCATGCGGCTCACCTGATGGTAAGTGACTACCGCCGCCCGTGAACAACCGCAACAATGGCGTTGGAATTGCAGGTGCGTTGTCGGTCTTTTAGAAAGGAGTAAGCTCTTTTCTTGAAGGTTCCTGCCGTATAGTGTCTCGACGTAGACACTTGCTTAGAAAGGATTCTTGAAATAATTATTTAACCTCTTAGGGGGTGAAATAGGGAGTCACAGCTTGTATAGCTTCTAATTTTTTATATAGAATAAGGTTGACAAACGAGCACACAGTCCACCTGATGGTAAGTTGATATTGTGGCCTTTAGACATCTACATCTATCCTCGATTAAGAATCAAAACGCAGATGCGTTGTCACACCTGAGGAATAAGATGGAGTGCCTCGTTTCCAGTAAAAAGGGTCTGGATCTCTACACTCACCATACGAAACACAGCAGTATTTTAAGCTGCTATTTTATTTTTTAGTCGTATCGGTCCGGAAAAATCGCCGGTGGTACATGAGCTATTCCACAGAGAAGTTGTAGGAGGAAGAAAATTCCTAGTAAAATGTACAGTGGTGGAGCGTCAAGCACCCAGAATTATATTAAAGATGTTAAAAATATAATAATATATAGGAAATTATATACAGTCTGTCCGGTCACGGACTAGCGATATTCAAGGTACTTATAATCAGCTATTTTAATACAAAATTACACTACACACTGAGGTCTAATCCCCTCCCTCTCTATGTGGCGGCCATTTTGTTTTTTACTAGAAATATTCTCTACGTGTTTACAAAAAAATTCGTATCTCTCAAAGTTTTGGTCTTACTGAGATAAAAATTGCCTCATTCGGAGGGCAACAATATTTTCTATCGTTTACGTTACCAAAAATATTGTACACATACTCATATCTTTAACCTTTTGAGCGCCAAAGTCGTCTATACGTGACCAGCACCCGCGTGCCCTGAGCGCCAACGACGTCTATAGATGACAAAAAACCCGGCCCACAAAAATATGAAATATAGACATTGGAAAATTATTACTGGTATTTTAATTCTACACCCCTCAAAAAAGAATAACCCAGCAACATGTGAGTATAAAAAACAAGTCTTCTAGAGCCACAAGTACTAAGAAACATTGAACTAAAAAAAATGGATTTTTATCTAAGCAAATACTATGTCCAGCACGCCAAAGTCGTCTATGTTAGACCGCTAGTGTTGTAATGTGTGTTAGCCATAAATTTATTGAAAACTATTCAAAATTAAGCTCAAACGTGTTATTTTTTTCTATTATTATTGATATTTAAATAAAACAAAAGGTTAGAAATATAAAACTATAATTAGCTACATGAATTAAAAAAAATTAACAAATTATCTTCGCATAATAAATCTAATATCTCAACTCTGGCGCATCCTTAGCGCGACATCGAAAATCAGTTCACTGGGCGCCGTGGTCAAGTATAGACGACACACTGATGACGTCATAAGCGATTAGCGGGAATATTAGTGCAGTGCAACATGAACGATTCCTCAGAACTCATTCGGATTTTGGAAAGCGTCGACGATGATGAATTTTCGGAAATTTAAAATTATCGTGAAACCAAAGTTTTTCGTTTTCGATTAACTCTACCTCAATGAGGTAGGAATACACTTTATAGTCTTTTTACGGTTAATTTCTTTTTTTATAGCATAGGGTAATAAACGAGCACACAGTCCACCTGATGGTAAGTGGTTGCTGTGGCCCATAGACATTTACATCTATCCTCGATTACGAATCAAAATGCAGATGCGCTCTCACCCGTGAGGACTTAGATGGAATGCCTCGTTTCCAGTAAAGAGGGTCTCCGGTTCTCTACACTTACCATACGAAACACAGCAGCATTAAGCTACTATTTGATGCCGATATTCCGTGAGAACGTGGTTCTTCCCCGGTTGAGCCGACCCATTCGTGCTACAACTAATAACTCCCGTAATATAACTGCAGCATGGCTCTACCACGTTAGAAAATTTGCTTTGGCCAGCTAAACATTTATGTTTTATTATTCCATAAGATTTTTATTATTTTAAGACTAATATTACCTATACAAGATTTTAATATTTTATGACTAGACCTAGTGCAAATAATTATTTACAATTGTTGAATAATTATGTACCCTTTGTTGATTTCTGTAATAAGTACTGATTTTTTTATTCCATGACCAAGATTTTAATATTATAAGACTGATTTTTCTAGTGCGAATAATTACCTATATACAGTTGTTGATTAGTGAATAATTACGTACCTTTTCTATTTTAATAATATAAAATTACAAATAATAAATGTGTTTTCTTTACTTAAGGTATGAAGAGCAATTTTCATTTTGTGTTGTGCGATTTTCTTTCTCATTCTCAAAATCATTTAGCAACATCAGTATCATATGAAACCCCCTTTATCATAAGAGCGTAAGACTTTTCTTCTGTGATTCACTTGGCCTACGCCTTGCCATAAAATATTTTGAATAGATGTCTGTATATTTTGGTTACATCGATTTTGAAATCGATACACAACATGCGACACGGCTACATCTCTAAGAAAGTTTCAAAAAGAAAGGTCAGCTACGCCGTTGTCGTCCAGTCGTGACAGTGACGTCATCACGACGGAGAGTAGTGTTGTGGTTTGCTGATGATTGAGCTAAATATCTAAATCATTTGACAAAATCTACTACACATCTTAATGTAATGATTATTATTCATCACAAACTTATTTAGTTGATATGAAATAAATTTTTGGTTAATATTGTTACCAGCTTAGGGTACGTGACTATAAAAACTGCCGATTGAATTACCAAAATTCACACTTTAATTGCCGAACACCTATTAAAACTTAAAACATACTAATAATTAATCACACTGATCACTTTAATTCACTTTATTTCGCTCCGAAGCTTCGCTTGTATCGCCAATTCAATACTGCCTCGGTCTCGCTACTAAACGGCTTTATATAGGCCTTTTCCACCGAAACATCTGGAATATTTCATCAAATACCGGTCGCGACTGACTATGTGTAGAAAATTTGAGTGTGGAGTTTTCTAGAAAGTTTAGTTCTTCTATTTGATAATAGATGGCGCTTCTGCCATGTACCAGCCAACAATTGTGGCGCGCAACACTGCCCCCTTCTACGACATGCTCATCCCGAGCATTATAAGCCCCATAATAACGCGCCAGTCTATCCACATGGACTATCTTAGGAGTACCTCTTGCACTTTTTTGTATCCTTTACAATCCGGTACGGGCCGTCCATAGAGTAGAGTAATATATACAGAAATAGAGAGCCATCTCCTAGGATTTTTTGTAACCCAATATGAATAGTGTCGCCGTCTGGTATCATATCCCTTAAACTAATCTCAATATCATGTTGACTATAGACAGCTGTATGTAGTTATGTATATGCACGACGCAAGCGACGAGATACCTGCTTAGTGTAACCAGCACTGGTTGAGCAACTCAGGGGCGGTGGGCGGAGCCACGGGGGTCGCGACCAGCGAGGTTCGACAACTAGCGAGGGTGCATACAACAACACAGAAAAATAGCCGTAATCTTTGTTATTGTATTTAATTTGTTAAAATTGTATAATTTATATTAATATAAGATTTAGAATAAGATAATAAAGAAATAATGATGTTGTAACTATGCAAATAACTCTCCCAATAAAGGCATCGAATGAATAACGAGAGTTAGCATAGATTTTAAAAAAAAATATAAATTGTACTCTTATAGTTAATTTACCTTTGTTGCATATCATCTTTATTGTATACATGTTACCATTCGTATAAATTACCTTTCTTAAGATAATTATAACATTACCAGGGCATGTTATTATGATGCGGCCGCGGAATTAATGAAGCTACGCGTAGGGCGTCACAACGTTTTATATTTATAGTGCTGAGGTGCGGGGCAGGGTTCTCAGCTTAAAAATTGTAAATTACAAGGTTTAAAACCTTTTAGAGTATAAGATAATTATTGTGTACATAATAATATAAGAATTAGATGTAAAAATATTATATAAGTAAATATGATTGTTAATAAATAAAAATTTTAAATAAATAAAGAAAGGCGCGGGGGTGAGGCAAGGGTCCGCTGGCCAGCCGTGGCCGAATCATATAAAAGACGGACCGACCGGTAGAGTCCGTCGTCACTCTCCAGCCACCGAAAAGGCACTGCAAGAAGAATAAAAGTACAAGTTCCTCCTCACCGCCGCTTGCCTCCTATATAAGAACAACGCGTTTTATTCATTTTTCAAACGGCGTTACGGCGATCCGTAACATTAATGGTCCTTCGAAGAGCCGAATTAAGAAGCAAACCGCAAGAACGAAAAAATATTATTTTGAAGAAAAATGGTGATTACGCGTAGTAACAGCGGAGAATCATCGAAGCGTCGTAAGGAGGAACAGACGACCCAGGGGGCCACGGAAGAGACCTCCGGGGGCGAATCAGCCACAAGTGGCTCATCAAACACCACTAGCGAAACCACAACGGGCAGCGATACAACTGCTACCTCGGCGACCGATAAAACAACTGCAACGGAAGAAACCCAGCAAGAAAGTGATCAAAGATCACAGCATACATT